GATATTTTTGAATTCCCTCTTATTTCTGTTGAATGATATTTTTCCAGATTGGATCTTGTTTTGTTTGAGGACAAACAAAGAGTTAAGTCTGGGGGAGTTGATAACACCGTATTTGTACCCATTTTTCAAAGGTTTTAATCAGTTTTAAGAACTTTTATTATGATTTCCATGTATTTGTAGTTTCAAGGCTCTTTTCAGGAAAGTTAGGAGAAATGATGGCAAAATGGAAGAAATCCACTTTTTCAGCTCTTCAGCCTCAAATGAAGACTTTCTCACCGTCTAATCCAGCTCAAATTTGGAGACAATCAATAGGAGACAATCAAGAGGAGACAACCTGCTTTCCATAGCACTTTACATCACAAAGATCCAACGGTGCAATCAAAAGATACATGGAGAACAAGTTGACCCAGTTTACCAGTCCTGGCTTAACGCCTCGATATAAACAGTCAATTACACTTTAGATCGCTAAAAGCTTTATCTCTAACGCCTCGATACAAATAGTCAATTTCACATAAATATCAGTTCTCTTCTCAAACAGGGAGATCAGATAAGCAAATCGAAGCTGATAACACCGTATTTGTACCCATTTTCACCATTGATTTCAAATGCTTTTTCAAAGGTTTTAATCATTTTTAGGAACTTTTATTATGATTTCCATGTATTTGTACTTTCAAGGCTCTCTTCAGGAAAGTTGAAAATGATGGTAAAATGGAAGAAATCCACTTTTTCAGCTCAGAGTCAGACCGTTGTGTGAGCCAAAACTCGCACAGCCAAAAAATTTGTTAAGGAAAAATTAAGGGATCGGAAACTTCTAGGGTTTATCGCAAGAACAGTAAGATCAAAAGAAAGTTTTTTATTGCTGTGGAAGTGTTTTGCTCTTATTGCTTAGGGTTGCAAAAAGTTACATAATGAATCGTAGAGATCTCCTATTTATACTAACTTTCCAAATCGCCTAGCCGAGAATCTCGGGAGAGATTTTCGGAATCTTTCCTTATCGCTTCGCGCGGCCACCGCCATAACGCCTTGCCTAGGTTTTTCATGGGCTTTCGCCTTTCGAGACTTCCACTCGTCCCATTTAGATGAACCGGCTCGGCCCAACGTAACAGACAACGGCTCGGCCCATGCTTCCTCTGGCGCGGCTCGGCCCACTCCTCGTCCTTCTTACGGCTCGGCCCATCTTCTCCACGGCTCGACCCATCTATCTTTCTCCACGGCTCTCCCAACTCGTCTTTCTCCACGGCTCTCCCCACTTGTCTTGGTGAGCACAGCTCGGCCCACTAACTTCGCAGGACGGCTCGGCCCATGTTTGGTGGACAGCTCGGCCAACTCGTCATACTTAGTCATTTTGAGATGGTTTTATCTGCTTGGGGTGAAACTGACCCCAACAGTTAGCCCCCCAGCTCGTCAGTTTCGGAGGCGAGGGTGACGAGGTCCGTTACTCCTGACCGTAGGATAAACCATCGAGTCGAGCCGTTGCGACATTAGCCAAGGTGGGGTGTTTTGGAAATAAAGATGCCGAGGCGTTTCAAGATGCTGTTGAGGATGCCGAGGCGTTTCAAGAGGGTGCTGAGGATGCCGAGGCGTGATTCTAGTTAACGACGAGGCGTTTATGTTGATAGTGCCGAGCCCAGTTAAAGACGAGGCGATTCTGTTTTATAGTGCCGAGCCCAGTTAAGGACGAGGGGATTCCGTTTAGTATTACCGAGCCGTGATTTCGAGTTGAATGATGAGGCGTAGTGCAATCTATGTTACTTGAGAAAGTATCCTTAGAAGAGGATTGCACACGAGGCGACTTGTGAATGTTTATGCCGAGCCGAATAAATGACGAGGCGTTCTGGGAAAGTTATGCCTAGCCGAATTAACGACGAGGTGTTGCAAGAGAAAGTCAATGCCGAGCCGTTTCGTTAACGACGAGGCCTTTACTATGGTAAGATATCGGCTGAAAACTCGGGTATCCCAACCGTTGATCTTCCGAAAGAAAGTTCCTAATCTATTGGCTCGTGCAACCGACGCAGTTCGAGCTAGCTAATTCAACGCGGATCCCACGCGCTGTTGGACGGTTTCCCGAGGTCCACACGGAACTCACGCGCTTCGGTTTTCCTATAAATAGGTGAGCTCCTTCGTTCCTTCTCATAATCTTCAGATCCACTCGTTTTCACTAAAAGGTAGCTCTCCCTTCTCTCTTCTTTCTCTCTCTAGTTTATTTATTTTCCGGCTAGGGTTCCGAGGTCTCCGCCGTCCCAGATCCTTTTCCGACGGAAGTTCGCCGCATAACATTGTAATTCTCGTATAAGTTGTAAATTATGTCGAGCCACTCTGACGATTCACTGGATTCGCTTTTTCACTATGAGCTGATAGATAAGACTTTTAAGGGTCTCAGGGCTATCAATCCCCTTGTCAATGTAGTACAAAGAGGTTTATCAATCCAGATGTGGTGTTAGACACTAAGCTATATGATCAAGTTCTTAATTCAAGCAAACAAGAATAGGTTTTGATTAATCTAGAGACAACTATAAACATAAACAGGTTTAAAGACAAATGACAATGACAAATGATGTGAATATGATATGATGGAGGCATGAGATTCTAGACATGATAGTTGGTTAGGGTGCCTTGGTGTTAAACTAGAAATGCTAATGACAATGATGAGACATGATTCAAATGATTAAGAACTCTAATCTAGGTTAATCCTCTCATGAAGGTATTAACCCCTATACTAATCCATTTTCAAACCAAATTCCCATTTGTGAAACATGAATCAATATGCATTAACAAACAGCTCTTAATGATCATTCAAGCATTTAACAAATCATTCCCATGATGAAAAATTACTTAAACCTCTAACACAACTCTTTCAGGAATTTCATCAAACACTTTTGGTGCATGAAATTCCCAGAATCTAGATCTCAAGTGATTATCAAGGATTTAGCATAGAGAACAGCTGTTTAGAGAGATGAATCAATGAATCTAGCCCTAAGCACTCCTAATCTAACACTTTAGCACCCTAACCTACACATCTAGAACCTCATTAAGGTGACTACTCACTAATCATACTAATCTCTCTTAAACTTTTGCAAGTTGAGTAGATTAGCATGATTAATGATGAGAAATGGAGATGGAGATGATAGATTCAAAAGAAAACAGCTTTAAACACCCAGATCTCCTTAAACTCTCTTGATTAAACACTCAAATAAAGATATTTCTCTTCTTAATGGAGTCTTTTCACCAAAAAGGCAAGAGACAAAGGGAATAAAACTTAGTTCTCCCCCAAAAAACCCTAAAAAGTATTTATACCTTCTTAAAAACGAACCGGGTCAGCCCGGAACAAACCGGGTCCTGACCCGGCTTTAATGGATAAAGTGGGAAAAGCTGCGGGTCGGTTCAGTATGTCCCAGGCCGCACACCTAAGTCGCAGTAGATGAAGACTTGTCTTGTGAGGCTTGAATCACATTGTCGGAGCCGCACGCCTATCTAGGAGTAAATTGCGAGTGTTTCTGCGGCATGGTCTCCTTCCTCTCCAACTCGCAGGGCTGAGCCGGTTTCTGGGGGATGTAGAAACTGTGCGGGTTGGTCTCTATTGCACTTAGGTCGCAGGCTCAAGTCGGAGTGAATTCCGAGTGATCGTGCGGCATAGATCCAGGCGCGGATGACTCGCATGCCTAAGTCGCACGATTGTGGACTTAGCATTTCTCTTGCTCGGGAGCTCCAGACCTCTTCCAGTGATAGTTTACCCGCACATTTCAACTCGCAGCATCAGCATTCAGGCGTTCATCTTCAGGCCTGCGGGTTAACCAAGTCGCAAGACCATCTCGCAGCATCCAGAGCAGCTTAGATCACTTCGCATTCCGGAGAGTGTAACTCCTGTGATACTTGTCCGAATTGAATGATTTCGGTTGCAGAAGACAGAGGACTCATTTATCTCCAACTTTTGTGAAGGAAGTTTCAGTGCTTGGGAGGTGGAAGGCTTCCTGGAGGGCACATCTTTGCAGTGCATGTATACGACCAGAGAGAGGCGTCTAGACATGTGTCCATTCCGGAGGCCGTATCTTCCTGCTCATAGATCCGAATTGAATGCTCTTGGACGTTCTGGAAAGAAAACTCAAATGTCTCTGATTCTCATGAAGGACCCGGAAGCTGAATCGGCCTGGAAGTGCACCGTCCTTCGCATCCTTCAGAACTGATCTGCTCGGTCCGGAATACCTGCGAGACAGGGGTTTCTTCCGACGAGCTTATCTCTCTGCTCACGCGTCCGAATTCTACGATTCCAATTGCTATGAGACCGTGCTTCAATGCTCTCCAACTTCTATGAAGGACCCGCCATCTGAATCGGACCGGAAGGCTCCCCGGACAGGTGATTTCTGAGACTCGTTCGCACCCGGAGATTTTGGCCGATATACTTAATTCGCGGTACGTGAAAATGGCCGGTAAAGCTTCCCGCGGTACATGAAAATGGCCGGTAAAACCTTCCTGGCCAGCGGGAATGGCCGATAACCTCCATAGACTCAAGTTTTCCACTTTCAAGCTCTGCTCACCATTCCACCTCCTGGATTCATCTTTTCAGCTCCATAATCACCTGATAGACACTCAAAACATGCAAAGACTCATTGGGACCTAATGCATCTCCTAAGTTCTAAAACAAACCCTAGGGACCTAAAATACATGAAATAAAACATGATTTGGAATGATTTATGCAACCTAAATGATGCAAATTATGAACATATCATGAGCCGAGCCGTGTAGACGCCGAGACGAGAAATACAACAGAGTCTTCCAAGGCGTCTGTCTCGCCGAGCCCTTCCAACCGTTCATCTGGGAGTGACGGGGTGTCGAACCATACAAATCCGCCGGATGTCGGCTCTCCACATGACAAGCCGTCGGTTTCGACGAGCCGTCCTCACGGTCCTGCTCCTGACGAAGATCTTAATCGTGCCGCATTCAAAGCAGAGTAGGAGGCGTTTCCCTTTGATTTATTCGAGGCGAAGCGTGAATTAGAACGTCTCATGGCGTCCCGAGGCGCTTCTTCATCTGGGCGAGGGCAGCGAGTAAAAAGACAAAAACCTGACCCGCCCGGTTCTACGCTCTCCTCCCCTGACTCACTCGAGGCGTTGAGGTGTCGCTTCGGGATATCCGAGGCGGTGGAGTTTATCGTTCCAGAGAAGAACGACCGAGCCGACAAGCCTCCCGAGAATCACTTCACTCTGTACGACGCGTTCTTCGAGCTCTGCTTTCTCTGGTTCCCGATCCCCGGAGTTATCCTTGAATACCTCTGGAAACATGGGATCTCGATTGGGCAGATCATGCCGAGGGGACTGCAGCATATGATCGACATTTTAGTTCGAAGCTTTGAGTGCGGGCTCGATATCGAGCTGAATCACCTGCTGAACTTGCTGGAAATCAGGAAAGCTCCGAAGGGAGATAGATTTTATATTTCCAACAAGTCCAATCGCCGGATTATAGGCGGTTTTCCAAGCAAAGATCAGTTTTGGACTGAACGCTTCTTCTACGTTTTCTACGTCTTGGTGAACGAGGCGTCGGTCGGCGAGGATTACGTTCAAAGAACCAAGACCACCTGGGGACCACTTGGTAGCCGACCCGAAGCTTTGCCTCGGCTCGGAACTTTTTTTTGTATTATCTTCCTTTACTGAATCTTTTTTTGCGTTATTTTTCAGTTCAGAGTATTCTTCCCCCGATTCCCGACGACCTTTTTATCGTTCGAGACTCCCTTTCGGCTCGGAACGTTAATTGGAGGAAAAATTTCACCCTCGAGAGAGTAGAAAAAGCGCGAGCTATTCTTGCCGGTGTCCCTGTCAGCTCTTCATCTTCCAGTTCCTGAGAGACAGGAAGAGGCGTGAAGAGGAGGAAGCCGCGAGGCGAGCCGCCGAGCCGTGAAGAAGATGACACGGAGGCAAACGTTGCCGAGGCGGCCGAAAAAGAACCGGGCGACATTATTCCCGAGGCGTCTAGAGATGACTCGGCAGCGCGGAGTAAAACTCCTTTAAACTCCGCAATTCTAGCTCTCCCGAAATCATCGAGGCCGCCAACCTCGGTTGTACAGAAGCACGACCCTAGCCGGAAACGTTCGGCTGCTGATAAGGGAAAGGGCGTCGCCATCCAAAAGGACGAGCCGTCCAGGAAGAAACGCAAGTCGGCTCCCGGTGATGCCGCACGCAAACTGGTCGTCGATGACCCTGACGTCTCGGCAGTAATGTTCGCGCGCGTCAATAATGCGAACACTCGTCTTCCTCCCCCAGAGAAGCTGAGGAGGCCGAGGTCGTACGGCACGATGGCGCAGCGTGATAGACAAGACTTTTTAGGGTCTCAGGGCTATCAATCCCTTTGTCAAAGTAGCACAAAGAGGTTTATCAATCCAGATGTGGTGTTAGACACTAAACTATGTGATCAGGTTCTTAATTCAAGCAAACAAGAGTGGGTTTTGATTATCTAGAGACAAATACAAACTTAAACAGGATTAAAGACTAATGAAATGCTTAAACAATAACTAAACAATGACAAATGATGAGATTGTATGAATGATGATGAGAAAGGTCTTAGACATGATAGTGGATTAGGGTGCCTTCAGTGATAAACTAATGAGCTAATGAATCATATGATCAAGCAAGCCATTCAACATAAACATCTTTAATTAAGTTAATCCTCTCATGAAGGTATTAACTCCTATGCTAAAACAGTTTCTAACCCAATCATCATCAGTGAAAACAAGCATTAAGAATCAGTTTAATCTGTCAATTAAGCATATAAGCAATCATTCCCATGATGAATAACACTTAAACCTCTAACAAATTTGGTTCAGGCATTTCATCAAACACTTTTGGTGCATGAAATGCCCAGAATCTAGACCACATATGATTTGTATGGATCTAGCATAGAGAACAAGTTGAAGAGAATGGAATATGCATGATCTAACCCCTAAGCTCACTAATCTACCACTTAAGCACCCTAATCTACATATCTAAGACCTTAATATGGGATTACTCACTAATCATGATCAACACACTAGATCCTTTGCAAGATGTGTTGTTAATCATGATTAGAAGTGTGATTTGATGATAAGAAATGATGGAACAAGATGAAAAGAAACTCCAAATCGATATTAAGCTCTAAAAACAAAGTGTATCAAGTGGTTTTTCACCAAAGAGGAAAAGAAACTAAAAGTAGATAAAAGGTGTTCTCCAAATTAGGTCTAAAAACAATATATAGGAGTCTTGGGCGGACCGGGTCAACCCGGAACAAACCGGGTACTGACCCGGCCTTGATGGGTGAAGATGGGTTTGCCACGGTCTGATGTGTTCTTGGTGTGACCGTGGCAACCTAACCGTGTCAAAGCTTTCTCTTGTGTTCTTGGTCGCCTTTTGATTGCCACGGTCTGATCAAACCTCGTCCGAATCCCGTGGCAAGTCACCGTGTCAAACGCCGAAGATGTGCAAAAGTTGCCACGGTCAAGCCCCAGACCGTGGCATTCAGACCGTGTCAAAAACCGCATGCATGTAAAATCCTTCCCAGCCAAGTATTTGATTGCCACGGCCAAGCTCCAGACCGTGGCATTCACACCGTGTCAAAACTCGAATGCATGTAAAAGTTGCCCCCAACCATCTTCTGTTTGCCACGGTCAAATGTAGACCGTGTCATGAAGCTCGTGCCAATCGCCGAAGGTTTGCAGAAGTTGCCACGGTCAAGTCCTATACCGTGGCATTCAGGCCGTGTCAATCGCCGATGGTTTGCAAACTTCTCCCCAGCTAAGTGTTTGTTTGTCACGGTCAAGTGTAGACCGTGGCATGGAGATCGTGTCGTTTGCTGAGGGTGTGCAAAAGTTGCCACGGCCAAGTGTGGACCGTGGCATTCCATCGCGGCATGTTTAACTTAGTCATTCAGGGCTGTCTGGACCACTTTTCATTCCGGAGAGTGTAACTTCCACGAAACTTGTCCGAATTGAGTTATTCCGGTTGCAGAAGTCGAAGGACTCATTTATCTCCAACTTTGGTGAATGAAGCTTTGTTTCTTGGGAAGTGGAAGGCTTCCTGGAGGGCTCATCTTTGCAATGCATTTACACGATCAGAGAGAGCCGTCTATACATGTGTCCATTCCGGAGACCGTATCGTCCTGCTCATACCTCCGAATTGAAAGATCTCGGATGTTCTGGAAAGAGGATTCAAATTTCACTGATTCTCATGCAGGCCCCGGAAACTGAATCGGCCTGGAAGTGCACCGTCCTTCGCATTCTTCAGAGCTTATCGGCTCGGTCTAAAACAGCAGCGAGACAGGGGTTTCTTCCGACAAGCTTAACTCTCTGCTCACGCGTCCGAATTCCATGATTCTACTTTCTATGAACCCGTGATCCAATCCTCTCCAACTTCTATGAAGCACCCGACATCTGAATCGGACCGGAAGGTTCCCCGGACAGGCGATTTCGGAAACGTGTCTGCACCCGGAGATTTTGGCCGATACAATCCACTCGCGGTACGCGTTTTGGCCGGTAATGTCTATCCGCGGTACATGAAAATGGCCGGTAAAAACTTCCCTGGTCCACGAGATGGGCCGATAACCTCCAAAAACACAAGTTCACCATTTTTCAAGTCTTGATCACCATTCCACCTCCTAGATTCATCTTTTCAGCTCCAAATAGACCTGATAAACACTCAAAACATGCAAAGACTCATTGGGACCTAATGCATCTCCTAAGTTCTAAAACAAGACCCTAAGGACCTAAAATGCATGGAATAAAACATGATTTGAAGTGAATTATGCAACCTAAATGATGCAAATTATGAACATATCAACTCCCCCACACTTGTCCTTTGCTTGTCCTCAAGCAAACAAGAACAAATGAGAGAGAGAGGTTGAATGCATGGGAGTTCACATTTACTTTTTGAGAGAAGTGATCACAATGAGAATTCAAGTTCATGCTCAATTATGAAATGCAAAGCCATACTCAGATATATATCAACTCAACAAGGAATCTCCACAAGTTATTCTCTCTCTCAACTCTTTCACATTCATTAAGCTTTTTACCAAGTGGATCAAATGATGCATTGTTTAAACAAACATAGTTTGGCTAGGGTGAGGTTATGAGGCTAAAATGGTCTCATAAATGCCTGAGTGGGTTCAATGCAGCAAAAGGATCTCTCAATGAATGACCAAACTTTGGCAGAATGCTAAAGGTAAAAGGCAACCTATGCATACAAGGGCAAAGACTCATCCCACCCCACACTCTACTCAAAGTTTCCTCACTTGCTCACTTTTCACACTCATTCTTCTCTCACTAGGGGACTCTCTTTTCTTTTTCATACACAAGTCTTGGAGTTCAAACTTTACATAGCTCTTTTTCACTTTCTTTTGTAACCTCTAACCTGTTTTTCTTTCTTTTTAAAACATTTGAGCTCTTTGGCTTCTTTTCTTTTCACTTAGAGGCTAGACTCTTTCTTTTCAAAACACTAGAGCTCACTTTCTTTGACTCAAAACTCCAAGACTGATTTCTTTTCTTTTTCATTCCCCTAGTTCTCACCATTCTCCTTTCATTTCCACTAATCTCTCCTTTTTCCACTCACCAACATGTATTCCCCCACACTTAGTTCTTGCCAAATCTCTCAGCTCCTTGATGATGGAACTTAGCACTCAATGAGACTTGCCCTTGTCGCCCTAAACCTAACACTTTCTGCTAAGTTTGGTCCAAGGTGGCCTCTCAATCACACACAAACAATTGGCTTGAAAGAAGGATGGGTTCAGGGTGAGGAAAACTGATCTATTATGCAGATTCAGCTATTTGAGCTAAGGAATAAGATGGTAAAAACAGGATTCTAGCTCAAATATGTATATTGGTATCCACAAGCTTGTTCAAACAATGCACCAAATGATAATTTCAAGTCAAGTTCAGGGTTTTCACTTAATTACAGTTGAGTTCAATTCAAACTTGTTTCTCAGATTCAGATCATTTCAGACTTTGCAAGCACAGAAAAAGATTCACAAGCATATTCAATTCAAGTTCTCAAAGTGATGTACTCTCTAGAAAACCTATCATTACTCCCTGCAAGATGCAACCTACAAGCATATGCAATCTAGTCTCAATCCTAAAAATGAGAATGCAACTACATGATCATTTTTTTGTGTAAATTTTTCAGATTTTTCCATTTTTTTTTGTTTTTATATGCACTTAGATGAGACTACATGAATATGCAACTAGAATGTGACTCAAGACTCAAAGTGTAAAATAAGAAAAGAGAAAACATGATTAGTAAAGGATGAAACTCCTCCCCCACACTTAACTAACACAGTCCCTTGTGTTATAGAAGCATGAGAAAGGAGTTAAAACAAAGTAAACAAGTAAAATGCAAAAGAAAAGAAAATCTACATGCTATTTACAAGGTTTTGAGTGTTTACCTCAATCGCTGAGGTCTGATCCCAAGTAGTGGGATGGGTTGGAGGTGGAACATGATGGAGTTGAGTATCTGGGTGGGCTGCTCTCAGGTGAGTCTGGTTGGAACGCTGTGGCCGGGTTCACCCAATCTTCGTTTCCTGGTGGTAGCACAAGGTCATGAGCAGCTGAGCTTTCTCCCACCTCTTCTCTTGTATCTCGTTTGGGTGAGGTGGCTGGAGCTGTGAGCTTTTTAACCTTCTTCTTAAGCTGCCTAACACAGTCAACTAGCTTGGTGATGGTTTTGTCTTGCCATTTGCACCATTTCTGAAGGGTGTTAACTCTGGAATACAGCTTCCTTGTGTGATAGTCAGGCTCACCCCAAAAGTAAGGATCAAAGTGATACCTCCCTGCTCCCATCCTTCTTTCAAAATCTCTTGGCTCCTCATTCTCACAACCAGCGGTCCTAGTTGTGTCCTCCTCTTCAACTGGCTCTTTACCCTTAGAACTAGCGGTTCTCTTGCATTTGGGAATTGGAGGGTGAATGGCTGGGTTGTAGAGCTGATCTTTTAGGACAATAAAGGAGACATTGTGCCTTTCTGTGAGAGTGGTGATGGCTGGGTGTGGCAACAGAACATGAACCTTTTCATTTTCCAAGAGCTTGAAGGTGTACAAGAAGTTTTCACCATTGCTTTCTTTTAAAAACCCAACCTTGGTGAGGGTAGCTTCATCAATCAACTCAGGCCTGACCTCAACATCATCAAAGACAAAGCCTCTTGCTTTCAGAATCTTTGTCACTAGCCATCCATTGTGCAACTTAGTGAGCTTCTTTCTTTTACCCTCACTCCAAGCAATGTCCTTGTAAATCAGCATTTGGCGTGCCAAGAATGCACCCCTAGATGGGATGTAATGTGGGAGGTGAAACTCTCTCTTGCTCTTCAAGTGACTG